TATGCTTTCTTCAGTTAAAGACATTGCACACTTTCTCCCTACCCTACCATTCTGTCCTCCTGTGTGGTAGCCTTAATTATGCTGACTAGCTAAGCTTCCCACTAATTATTGAGGTGTACCTGAACAGATATGTTTTACATCAATAACAGCTCTCATCTCAACATTTTTGCATGTCATAAAAATACATTTTGTTTTATATCTAATGTCTTTCTCTGGTTAGATGTTACTATGCACTGAACAACCTTCTATATACAGAAATATTGAAGTTATCTAACTCTTTTTAGCTGATTCCCCTTAAACATTATGAAGTTTCACTTTAGAGTAAGTATTTATTGGGCTTCACTGTGTAAAAGGTGTTTTGCTAAGTATTATGAAAGAATATATGATTTGCTTCTGACACAGAGCTTTTTTGAGAAAACAGAGGGCTTCACAAAAGTCAAACAATTTTTTCTGTGTATTTGTATTATCAAAACAATGTGACAGCATCACTGGTAAGATCAACAGTGTTCATTTAAAAAGATTGAGAATATATCATTATGGAGTTGGCATTTCAGGTGATTCTTGGAAGAGGAATTGGATTTTTAACAATGAAGTGTTAATAGAACTATCGTTTTAATAGAAAAATAATCAGGAATCCTTGCCAAGTTTAGATTGGTAAAACAACACATTTTACATGTAGTATGTTAGTTCAATACATTTTGTTTTAAAAAATAAACTCTAGTTACACACCCTTTATTGTTCTCCACCTTTAAATTCAGTTTGCTATTTATAAGAAAACTAGTATCTGAATGGGGGAATAACTACTAAGTTGAAAATGAAAGTCAAAAAGATGGAGGAAAACTGTGCTTAGGGGAGTTGATACCAGAAGAGACCTCTATTACTTTGCAATAAGGACTACTAGAAAGTGGGTAGCAGATCACAGAGCACCACCATTGTCCAGGGAGGGAGTTTCTGACTCTCATTCACCCAGAGCAAGAGCAAGAGCAAGAGCAAGAGCAAGAGCAAGAGCAAGAGCAAGAGCAAGAGCAAGAGCAAGAGCAAGAGCAAGCTCTTTCTAGTAAGAGCACCTCAATGTCAGCAATTCACTTTGCAAATCCCAAATGCATCTGTTCATTTAGAATCATGACAACACAGCCACTTAAAAAACAAGAATGAAATTTGAGATTTTTATTTCTAAAATGAAAATATTTTTTAAAAGAAGCTGTATATTAGATCATTCTGGCTGATCACTCCTCATGATACAACAGCTGAAGGAAAATAATTATTTACTTTTCTAGCAAGAGGGCCAGTCAGAGCTCATGATGGCTGGTAATGCAAACTCGACCAAATCAAAGCAGTTTATATACTCTCATAATTGGAAAGTCCAGATACACTTGACTCTCAACACAGCTGGCCACATGAACCCACCTATAGGTATCTCAATCCTGCCACTTTTTGTTCTGTAGCAGACTGTCCACCTAGTGGGCCAGAGGGCCACCAGTCGACCCCACCAGCTTAGCAACCCCTGTAGAAAGAGAGTATCCTCAAACAGTTTCATATAAGATGTGAAAGTCCCTGATTGCCCTATCCCCTCACTGTCACAGGCAAAAGGTAGTGTTATGAATGACTATCTTGAAGGCCCATTCCTGTGGCTGGGGGCTAGGGCACTGTTCACCTTCCAGTCTCACCACTAGAAAAAAGTTCACATGCTAGAAAAGTAGACAGGGTGATGAGCAGAACTAAATGTTAAATAACATACAAAATAGGTATATATCTTTTCACCTCGCAGGTAGATTAGGTGGCCAACTTTTTCTCTGTGATATTAAAATAATCACATCCCACAAAATCTGGAAGAAAAGGTAATAATTTACAGCTTCCATTAAAATTGGCAACGGATCAGTTTCAGGTTTGAGACAAAAGCAATTTTTACCTTGAAAATGAGTAGTATTGTTTCTTTTAAAAATGTGCATAGAATCTAGAGTCTTCTAAAAATTACTCTAGGTCATTTCTTATGTTCTATATAGCTATCTTATCTATCTATTCATTAGGGTATGAAGGGTTATTTATTTTTGTGAATTGCCATGATTTATCTTGCTTCTCAAAACCTGTTTTCATTAATTTTATATACACTTGTAGAAAAATATAGTTTAATTGTTACAAATATCTATGTAAATAATACATTTACATTGTGCAAAAACTAAGATAATAAATATGTAAATCAAAGATGGATTTTTTAATTTTTTTACTGTTTAACTATATTCGTCAAAAGATATTTCAGTAATTTCTTCAAAATTCTTATTTTGCATGGATCTTGTGGCATACTTAAAAGTATTTACCAAAGATTCTTCCTTACAATTGAGACTTAGATTCTTAATATACTTTTGGAATAAAAACATATTTTATAATGTCATAATAATATATAGTCTCCTTTGTTCTCTAATTCTTGAAGGTAAAGATATACTTTTAGGGTACTCCACAAACCGTATTGCCTAGTGAAAAACAAAATTCAGAATTAATGCTTTTATGTAATGGGGTACAGTACTTTATTTATACCATTCTAGAATATAGGTGCTCTTCTTGAACATCCTGGAAGAGATTGTATTGCCAGTGTCCCACAGGAATCATAATGAGAAAATGCACTTGGCAGCTCCCTCATCTGATTAATAAGGCATGGTGAGGTTATGTGACTTCATTCAGGATGCCCATGATCTATTCTCCCAGGCATAACCTGACTGCAAAGCTGGTCTTTGGAACCCCTGCATTAGCCATTCATTGTACTTTCTGGGGCAGAGTCACAACGCCTTTCAGCCAGATCCCCACTTCTTTCAAGGCTGATTCTGTCTTTCTGGCTATCAAAATACTTTTTATGAAATCAGAACCAATGAAATTAAAAAGTAGGGTCAGAAAGTACTGTTAAACATCCTAGCTTCTCTGCTCCAATTCTGAGACACCAACTTTCCAGAAGCATGGCCCGTGTTAAATTGCTCAGTGGTATTTACCTCCCATTTTCCCTGCCATATCTATTACTAGCTCTTGTCATCCTCCAAGTACTTGTCAAACATTAAATAATCTCAGATTACATATGCTGTTCATTATGTTTATCTCAACCAGTTATCAGAGAAGATAATTTCTTTTCCTTTGGTTTTATTCTTTTTGGCTCCATGACTTGTGTAGTAAACTTGAGTGGAAAATGGAAGGTACAACTTAGTATATTTTCATAACAAAGGCAATGCAATACATAGTTTACTTTTAAGCAAGGTAACTTTCAAATTGCTTGTGGTTTTGCAGTTGGCAGTCAGACTATATTTTTATCACCTTTGAGTCTTCTTGATTTATTCCTAAGTGGAACTTTTGAGGATATGAAGATAAAGAAAATATGAAAATATTTTTAAATCATTTATAGTTAACTCATTTTTATCTATTTAAAATGTGCTAACATGATTGTTTTGGCAGGATTATAGGGTGAAATAAAATTTGGAATTCATATATGTAGTTAGGTCTTTAAAGATATAAAGTAATATTTTGAACTCTAAATTTTCATTACTTTCTGATCAAGAAATGAAAAACTATTTAGAAATTCCATTTTTAAAAATTTTCTGTCTTTTAAAAATGTGACCAGAATTCAACTGATTTGCATCAAATCTCAGTAAATTTGTTCATTTAGTTTCAAGATAGCATGCAGGTGTGTATAATATTGTCTACAGAAATACTCTCTAACACTCAGTTCACTGAAGTGAATCTGTAATTCTTACAGTGTTCTCTGTATAGTGATAGTAGAAAGCCTTCCAGAGGTTAAAAAACAAAAAAAACACAAAAACTGAAGATTAGCAACATACCAACTTTCAGGTAGGCCTCTCCTAAACACTTAAAATTCACTTACTCTTTTGCAAATCATTATTCCAGAGGTTTGATTCACTGGGTCTTAAACCACATTTCAAAGAGTCCTATCATTCATCCATTATTGGAACTGCCATTAGAAGTGATGGGAATTTGGTACAAAAATCAATGAGAGGATATGATATGAGTGCTTTCTAATTTTTCCTTCTTGGAACACCATCTCAAAAACAGTCTGTGAAATCTATTTTCAAAGGTATTTTTCCATCTTGCTATCACTTCAGCTAAATTGAGTTCATGAACTTGGGATATATATTCACATAGTTTTTCAGAAAAGAAAGGAGATTCATTGTCACTATTGTGAATTTTTACCTAAAGTCATTTAAAAATCTTAATCAAATCATTATACTACTGATGTTTCCCATTAGCTTTTTAGTCTTTTAAAAACATGCACTCAGGTTTACCATTTTAATCTAAAAAAGTTGTACTAATCGTTTCTGGGTAGTGAAATGATAAAGAATTGCCTATTTATCTATTTTACTATTCTTTCTATTTAAAATTTTTTCAGTCATGAACATGCAGACTCCTGAAAGCAGCAATAAAAAATGACTGGATATAATACACATTATTTTCTTAGACCTTCTGTGCCCCTTCACCAATAATAAAGAACGGTCTCAGTAAAAAGATTAGTTATACAGTTAAACCAAGATATCTAGAAGGAATTTCATCCTTTTGAACTACTTTGTTACTGTTTTGTTTCTCCCCCAGAGTAGATTCTTTTGCTTGCATTCAGCCTAACAATGAGCCTAAAGAAAAAGGGTATTAAAGAGCAACTTACCCCCAAAACTCATCGCCCGTGATGGCAATGGACACGGGAGAAGGTAAGGGAGAAACAAATATAAATTCAAGCTGATGGCAAGGGCTGTGGTCTGAATGGCAGCATTCATGGGGTGCTGGCTATAGGAACATACGGGTTTTAGGGAGGAGGAAAAACGCTGGGAAGAGATAATGTGGCAGTGGGCAGTGAGGTATGGCCCTGCCACTCAAGAGGTGTGTCCTATCATAGAACATAGCATAAACAACTTACAAATGCTTACATAATCTGTCATTATGTAAGTATTTTGTCATTAACTTTTGGTATGAATTTCTAACTTGTAATCCTTCTTTCTGACTATTTATTTGGTTAGGAAACGCATCCACAACTACGACTGTTATAGACAACAAAAATGGATCTGTGCCCAAATCCCCTGGGAAAGTGCTGAAGAGGACAGTCACAGAAGACATAGTGACCACGTTCAGCTCCCCGGCAGCCTGGCTTCTGGTCGTTGCTCTGATAGTCACGTGGTCAGCTGTTGCTGTTGTTATGTTTGATTTAGTGGACTACAAAAACTTTTCAGGTAAGATCTATGAAATTTGGCTTTTAAATGAGTGGAAACAGAGTTTCTCCCAGTTCTGGCTTTGTCTCTCTTTATCCTGTCTTAATGTGATAAATCAAGCATCCAACAGACATGATTTTAGGTCACTGAATCTAGTTTCCTTCTATTTTTCCTCTTTGCCTGTATTTCAAATAAAATAGATTTTCTTATTTGTAGAACTGAACAGAGGCTGAAGGTTACAATTTCATAATGATTAAAAAGACCGGGCAGATACTTTGTTTTGGAACTACAACTTTATTAACCACTAATAAGGGGTAATTTATAGTTTTACAGTAGGTAATATAAAACAAAATGAAAAGCTTTTGGACACATGGAAAATAGGGTATTTTTAGGTCCATATGCCATCTGGCTTCAAACTTCCTTTTCAGACACACTCCTTGTTCCTCCTATTAAAATATCCTATTTTGAGTTCCCGAAAATGAAAGAGTGTTATTTAAAGGAGTTTCCAAGAATGACTTATAATGAGCTATTATATCTTGAATGTCTTTGTGTTTTGGAGTAAAACTGGACAAACGCATGTGAAGGTAGATTTTCATTATGGCAATTCAATCACTGAGTATATTTTTCATCCCTTTGTTTGAAATTTCTTCACATTTAAAAAATTATATTTATCTATTTTCTCATCTGACATGCTCCATTGACTGTGCATTCCTCGAAGGAAGGAATTAGTCAGGCATTCAATAAATATTAAATGAATAGATGAATGAGTTTTTGCTTATTGCTTTTCACCACAAGTAAAAACATGTCATTAACCTATTAAAGTGTTTCTTGGTATTTGTACCACCTGTCCCCTACCTAGCCCACTCACTTTCTTTCTTCAGTAGTGGTGGAATCAGTCACACCCAGAAACTGTAATTGCTGTAAGTTTCATTCTATATACTCAGCATCCCTCTGTTTTTCATTATGGTATTTTATGCATTAAACAATTATATATTGAGAATCTAGTCTATGTGCCAAACAATGGCTGTGTTAAAAGAAATACAAATATAAATTTGAAAAGTTATAAAATTGCATCATTTGGGCTTATTGACTAGGAGGTAGGGTTGAAATGATGCTGTCCACTGCACCGTTAGCAGCTGGGCTGAATGATCTATTCTAACAGGGAGAAATATGTTCATGGTATCAACCAAAGGAAAAAAGGCTATTCATTCAGAGCCATAAACTGCTGCTCCAAATAGGCTGTAGTAAATATTGTGTAATCTAGACTCTTAAAAGAACGTACACTAGAAATGCCCATAATATAAAATTATCACTTAGAAGTTTAAATGAAAAACAATTAGTTATGTTACTCTAGAAGATTTTATTTCCCTTTAGCCCATATTGACTGTGATATTTTACCTTTCCTTTCTTAGACTTTAATTCATTTAAATTTTAGAACCAAATATGATCATAAAATATAGTTCTGTAATATTTACAATAGATGTTAATAACTACATGTAAATTTAATATTTGTAAAGTTAATAATTTAAAAGTGCATTACAGAAATTTCTGTTGAAATGGATTTGTTCTTACTTTACAAAATGAACAGTTACCCATTAGACTTCCAGATTAGATTTCTTAAGTATAAAATACACTTTTAATTCACAGTAGAAGATTCTTTCTTGGATCCTGTAATTAAGTGGAAATGAATAATGCCTATGTTACTGGCATTTCACCTGATTAGGGAAAAAATAGCCTCTTCATTGCTACCACTTTATTTCTTCCCTTAAGAAGTATTTATTAAGCACATCTTCTATGTGTGGTCTCCTCCTCCAGTTTTCTATTTCTATCAATGACCTAACCAACTATCCATTCCCAACAAAAAGAAACCTGCAAGTCATCTTTTTAATGTGCTCGGCATTTGATTAGTCACCATGCTCCGTGACAGCTTACTCCATGTCTCATAAATTTGCTCCCTTCCCTTATTACCACCATCTCCATTTCTATACTTTAGGCCTAATTCTCTTTTTAGGGGATTAGTGAAATTTCTTCTGGTCTCCTTCATCTAGTCTCTCACATTTAACATTGCTCCAGAGGTATCTGCATACAGCATAAATTCGACCAACTACTTCTTATTGCCTAAGTACTAAATGCTTGGTATGATATTTAAGTCCTTGGCTTCGCTCTGTATTTAATTCTCGTAATTCAACTCATGAACCTGTTTTTTTTTTCAGTCATATCACTACTGTTCATCCCTGTTTTTCTTTCTCTAGAAAAACATACTCTCAACTTCTCAATGCATCTGCTTATGCAGTTCCTCTCTCCTGGCCCCACCTAGATAGCCAAAACTGTATTAAAGTAGTTAAAAATGTGAACTCTGGGGTTGGATTTCCCTGGTATTAAATCCAGATGTTACCACTTTTTAGCTGTGTGATATGGAGAAGTCATTTAGCCTCCCTCTGTCTCAGTTTCATCACCTACAAAGCAGGGGTAATAATAGTAATAAGATAAAGAGAACTACATGTGATTATATTTCAAGTACTTAGAACAAAATATAGTTTAGCACAAACACTGTATCAATATGACTATCCCAGTAAAGACTCTTTTCTCAGCTTTCTATTTAGAGAATTTTCATTCAGCTTTTGAGTTCTACCTTTTCATTTGTAAAACATTTTTAGGCTTCCTAAGAAGAATTCTCTGCACTGTGATTTTATTCCCTCATACCTTATGGGCACCTGTATTATATCAGTTAACACATTATATTTGTAATCTGTCCACCTATCTATCTCATTCTGAAACTTAAATCTATCCCAGGAAGGGACTGTCTTATATATTTCTCCACATGAGTTCTGCCACATAGTGAGTTTTCTGCTAGACATTGTACACAGGAATGAATAATACTGACATTTGGATTTTGAAACAATTTCTTATATTATAAAGAAACAATATGCCATAAAATTTTAATTTCAACTAGTCAAGCAATTTCAAACAACTTTATAAATTATTAAGTTTAATACAATTAGAATGTAAAAATAAAATACATTTATAAGATGAAATGCTATTTGTTATGTTTCATAATATTATCCATTGTTACATGATAAAGTACTTCAAAAGTACGTGGTTTAAAACAAAAATAATGATTTTTTTACTACACATAGTTTCTGTGGGTCAGGAACTTGGGAATGGCTCAGCTGCCTTGTTCCAGCTTAGGGTCTATCTTGAGGTTTCAGTGAGGGTATTTACTAGGGCTGCAAGGCATCTGAAAGATTTTGTGGGGTAGTGGAACCACTGGCAAAATGTCTCACATGGCTGTCAATTAATGCTGGTGTGTTCTCACAGCATGGCAGCTGCTTCCTCCAGAGAGTGATTCCAGAGAGAGGCAGGGAGCCGCCTCAATGTCTCTCATGACCTAGACTTAGAACTCACACACTTTCATTTCTATCTTTTTTGGTTACAGAGGTTAGTCTTATTTATTTAATGTTGAAAGAGACTATACTAGGGTATGAATAAAAGCATGCAAGGATCATTGAGGGACATTTCGGAGGCTGGCTACTATGTATTTTACCCTAAAAAATGACATCACTAAATTTCACATCTTTAGTTAAGTGCTTACCGGTAAGGAAGTGCTGTACAATACTCCAGCTGACAAAGATATTGTAATTATAATAGGTGCAAAGAAAAAGAGATGTGTTGAGATAACTCATGAAGCCACATCTAGGAAGAGAAATTATTCACTAATGGATTTGAAATAAAAAAATAATCACAAAGCTAAAATTTTAAAGAAGAAATGTATAAATTCTTCAAATAAGAAGTTCAAATACTTTTAACTGAGTGAAATTTGAATGATCAATTTCTGGTACCTAAAGAATTTAAGTTCAAATAATTTGTATAATCATAGTTCAGAAAACCCATATTAACCTTTGGTTGGATGGGACACATCCATTCATATTTAAATTCTGATTTCTTTGCTCTATTTAGTTCAAGCCTGCATTTTTTATGTTGATTCTTCACAGGAAAAAAAATCACTTGCTTCAATAAGTTTCGAATGTAAATGGTACTTTTATGTTTCTAATGTTATTTTTAATTGATACACTTCAAACATTTGTTAATGATTGATATCATTATAATGATGGTATTTTGTAGTACATAATAGCCTTTGAAATATATATTGCTAAGATTTAAAAAATAAGGCTAGTGGAAGAGGAAGTCACACTGGAAATATCCCTAAAGACCAAAAAGTAAAGGCAGCTGTCCTTGGGCTCTAAATTACTCTCGGGCACTTTAGAAAAGCAGATAGTCCTTGAGGGCATTAAAAATTGCTCAGAGAGAAATACAAATAGATTTTATAAACACATACTATAGTGAATTGATAAGAATGATTCTCCTCTGAGAAGCTTTCACAATTCCTTATCTTCTGAATTGATCTAACAACCTGTACCTGATCTGTTTGTGAGGCCCTTGTAGAACTGGCTTTTCCATGCTTCTTTCACAAGACTTGGGACCACTCTACAGCTCTATATCCTATAAGCCAACATGACTAGGAACTTTTATTTCCTTGTCTGTAAAATGCAGATAGCACTTTGCTTTCTGGTCTGCAAAATTTGTGACTTTGATCCTTATCAAATTAGACACATTTTAGGACACCAAAACGGACACTAGAAAGAGAGTTCACCTACCTTTTATCTTATTAAATATAATGTTCAAACAATGCTATGATATATCTGTCTGAGCTGGTTCAAAGTAGAACCATTATGAGTGATGAAGAATAGGGGATTTTATTATATGGCTTACGGAGGCTGTTGCGGTGTGTCTGGGCTGGGTTGGAAATCAGCAAGATGGAATTTGGTGTAGGAAAGGAAACATACCTTTTTCTTCTACGTTTCTACATTTTGGCTTAGGCCACCTTTAACAAAAGAGAAAAACATTCAGATTTATTTGATACATATTATATATTACACTGGAGCCTTCATAAGCAAAAGAAGACCTTAAGCAACAGTTAAACCTGAGCATTTTTATTCTGGATTTGATGAACAGTAAAAAGT